TATATATATAAAATATATTCTATTTATGATTTTTTATTTTTTATTGTTTCTTATAAAGTTCTTAAATTTATATATAAAATCGTAGGCATATTTTTATAACAATTATAATAATAGTATTTGAAATTTCTTTAAAGGATATTATGATGAAAACGTAGGTAGATTATACAAGGTCTGTTTGAAAAGTAGTATGTATTTTGTGTTCTTTTTTCTTATTAAAATCTATTTTGTCGCCTGCAAAGTATTCAAATTCTTTAAGCACTTCAAAATATATTTTTTATAGTTTTGTTTCAGCTGCTCTTTCGATGTCGTCTTTATCTCCTTGATGGGCCTCTTCAGTTTCGATAACAAGCAAACGTCACAGGGAACTAGGTCTAGGGACTACGGAGTTAGCGGCATCATTAATATATTTTTTTGTTTTCAAATTCGCGTTACTTTTCGCGCAGACCTCGCATATTCCCATTGTGATTATACAATTGACTTAACTTTTTTCTTCGCACAAGTGAAAATCAATTAATAAGCGCGAATTTGACTATAGCTAAGAATGAAATGTAGATGGCTAAATGGAAATGGAAATACAAGAGTCGAAAATTGTGCCCATCGCTTTGTAGGGAGAGCTGTTAGCTGTTGGCAAGGGCTGGCGATGGCTTTGATGTGGAGGCTTTTATTAATGATGTTCCAGTTGCTGTCAGCGTGCCTGCCGCTGCCAATGATTATCCAGTTTCAAAGGCAGCGGCAGGCCATAACATTTTCACATCATTGATATTTTCATTTCGATAATGATTTTCACAAAACGTCAAGCGGCATACATGTGTGTGCGTTCAAGGCCTGGCTTGGCAGGCAGGAAATATGAAAAGAAAGAAAACGCCTGGCGTCAAAGGAACAGCTGCCAGATGTTTAGCTGGGCCATGTTTGCCTTGATAGCTGCAAGGATAACACTTTACTTGACCTTTGTGTGTGCGCGCACTTGATAAATGATGACGCCGTTGCCACCGCCACCGCCATCGCCACCGCCTCTCCCCCATTGCCCCAATGCCTCTGCTCTCCTGATCGTCTGCGTCTGCCACTTAGTTCTGATACTCTTATTGTTTCAGCTCACAGCCTTGCTTGCGCTTTTTGAATGTTGTGAAATTGTGTGTTGCTGCTGCTTCGCTCGCTTCCTGCTGCAGTGTCCCGTGCTTAATCCTGAAAGACGGCAGCCGCTTGCTACGTGCTCATCTCGCTTATTGCCAGCTATGCCGAGCTTTGCCACTTGCCAGTTCGAACTTGGCTCAATATTGACATTGATTTTGATTTGATGTTCTGCTGCATGGACCACACACACACACAAACAGAGTGTGCTCTTGCATATTTATGTGTATCTGTGTCTGTTTGGTTTTGTGCATTTGGTTGCTCCACTGAATACCATTAAATTATCTTAATAGATATATTCTTCAACATAAAATATTGCCTTAAAATATATATTTTTTCGATCGGGGCATTAATCATTCAGATTTTCTCTCTAATTGCTTTAGCTGCTCGCAACTAGAGCTAGAGAAAGCGAAGAACAGAAGAGAGAGAGAGAGACAGACAGAGGCAGAGAGAGAATAGAGAAAAAGAGAGAGAGACAGAGACAGAGTGAAGAGATGACGAGACTGGGAAATTATGAGAAGTGCATAGAAAGGCTAAAACTCGTGCAGTGCTTGAAGTGCGTGAAGCCAGTTGGGAGCCAAGCGAAATTCCTATATGAACTTCACAGCTAATAATACAATGGGCAATATCCAATACCTCATTTGTGATGTCATTCATAATCGATCTATCAATTTGGTAATTTAATTGCATTTGTTTGCCGAAAGCTAATAATTACTTAAAGTTTCGCACACGCACGTTTCAAACTTGGATCATTTAATTGGGCAATTAATAATGAATAATAAATTCCATTTTTTCTGAGCAATAAAGTAATTTACAACAATTAATCAGATTTAGAAAAAAAAAAACAAAATCTATTTTTCATATGCATCAATTTCGATATCCAAACCGACAGACAAACTGCGTTTCCATTTAGTTGATGTTTATACACAGCTGTGTATAGCTCTGATAGATAATACAGACGATGCACACACATACACACGCACACACACAGACATACCACCGCATATACCACACAACAATAATGTTAATGCGAAAATAATTCATGTAAAAAATAAATTCAAATAAAATTTTTGCGGTTAATTTCGACCACAAAATATTTGGCAGATATATGTATAAAATATAATATATATATATAAACATATATAGTATATATAAACTATATACATATATTTATATATTCACAACTTACATTAATGAGTTAGACCAGCTACAGTATGCTTTATGGAAATTAATCGATCTAATTAAATTTGCATAAATTTGTTGTCGTAGGGCGGCCATATTAAGCAATACCCTACACAGACTGGGCATATTATTTAACTGATCTGATATACATATACTATATGATACGTATACACTCTAGCATAATTGATATAAATAGGTTTTCTAGGCAATTTATTGCTGTTGAATTTAATTGGAATTAAATTTGAAGAGTACAAAAGGCAAATTATCAAATGCAGAAGTGGCACCTGCTGGCGTCTGACCACGCTGAGGCATCAGCATGCTGCTCTGCCACCACAATTGCTCAACAAATGGAGTTGCCACATAGACCGCACACTCAGACACACATATATATGTCTATATACATATATATATATTATTCACTTACTTAATTCGAGCATAAAATGTGGCACTTGTGATATGTGAGCTGCACTCGGTTTTGGTCACAAACAGACATTCGCATTGGCCATAGAAAGTAATTGCCAACCGTTTGCCTTAACGTCTTAGTGGCTCGTCCCATTGCCTAAGGACACTTTTCGACCATTGCAATTTTATTTTCAGCTGCCTTTTCTGTGTTGCTTTCCAATTGTCTTGCTCTTGCCTTTATTGTTGTCGGATCCGGTCATTTGCAGTTGTGCCTTTGACATTTCCGTTGGCAAGACGGCCAAACAAAAAAAATGGTCAATTAAAGTCATTAGAGACAGAAAATTATTTAAGCCATTTGTAGAATGCTATGCGGGCACAATGGAAACTCTAAAATGCCAACTCTAATTGGACAGATAAATGGATTATTTATCCATTAAGAAAGTCATGAACAATGATGTCAGCATAATGATATCAGCATATACATATATACTATTAGCTCTACTTAATCATTACTTGTCATTGTCATTGTCATTGTTATTGTCATTGTCATTGTCATTGTCATTGTCATTGTCATTGTCATTGTCATTGTCATTGTCATTGTCATTGTCATTGTCATTGTCATTGTCATTGTCATTGTCATTGTCATTGTCATTGTCATTGTCATTGTCATTGTCATTGTCATTGTCATTGTCATTGTCATTGTCATTGTCATTGTCATTGTCATTGTCATTGTCATTGTCATTGTCATTGTCATTGTCATTGTCATTGTCATTGTCATTGTCATTGTCATTGTCATTGTCATTGTCATTGTCATTGTCATTGTCATTGTCATTGTCATTGTCATTGTCATTGTCATTGTCATTGTCATTGTCATTGTCATTGTCATTGTCATTGTCATTGTCATTGTCATTGTCATTGTCATTGTCATTGTCATTGTCATTGTCATTGTCATTGTCATTGTCATTGTCATTGTCATTGTCATTGTCATTGTCATTGTCATTGTCATTGTCATTGTCATTGTCATTGTCATTGTCATTGTCATTGTCATTGTCATTGTCATTGTCATTGTCATTGTCATTGTCATTGTCATTGTCATTGTCATTGTCATTGTCATTGTCATTGTCATTGTCATTGTCATTGTCATTGTCATTGTCATTGTCATTGTCATTGTCATTGTCATTGTCATTGTCATTGTCATTGTCATTGTCATTGTCATTGTCATTGTCATTGTCATTGTCATTGTCATTGTCATTGTCATTGTCATTGTCATTGTCATTGTCATTGTCATTGTCATTGTCATTGTCATTGTCATTGTCATTGTCATTGTCATTGTCATTGTCATTGTCATTGTCATTGTCATTGTCATTGTCATTGTCATTTTCATTGTCATTGTCATTGTCATTGTCATTGTCATTGTCATTGTCATTGTCATTGTCATTGTCATTGTCATTGTCATTGTCATTGTCATTGTCATTGTCATTGTCATTGTCATTGCCCTTTAAGCGTCATTCAGTGCAGGATATCAGAGGTCGACTTAATTCTGCATGCTTTACAACATTATGTGTTTGCTTGTTCCACAGTAAAATGATTTATTCTGACACGCCTCGTTCTGTAGAGTCACCCTTTGGTTGTCTTTCTTATCGCATTTGTTCGGTATTGATACTTGAGCTAAAATGGGTTCGCTTTGGGGCATCTCGTCTTGAATGGAGCTTTTTTGTCTGGGCTTTTGTCCATTCATTTTGGCCTATCTATCAATGTTTGTATATGCTTATATCTGTCTGCCTGTCTGTCTGTCTTGTGTTTGCCCCACTCCAGCTGTGCTCTGTGTGCCATCAAAGTTGTTTTGACGGCCCAGCTTTTGCCGAGGGCAAACTTTTTCTACGTTCCACTCTCATTCTCAATCACAATCCATATTCTCGGCTGTCGCAAACAGCAATTAGGCTGTCATTATATCTAGAAATTCAATTTATTGCACAGCATAATTGCGTATTTGGGGAATAGTTTTGACACGAGTTTTGCAATAAGTCCAAATTAATAACATATATGGACCATCAGAGTTTGCCGCTAATTATGTTAAGCTGTCAACAGAATTCTTTAAGTACGTGGTGGAAGGCGGTCGAGCGTAGCATCGTAATGTGTGTTGAGCACTCTGCTTACTTAAATGAAATTAAATAATTCAATATTTGAGCAGTAAATACCATTCTTATCTCCCCCACATGCAAGCTTTTGCGAATCTGACCCATATATAAGCCCCTTTGCAGCCCAAATCGCAATGCAGAGCACTGAAAATGCTAAGATATTCAACACGTTTATTTCTGACTTCGGGATTGCTATGTGTATGCTCCTGGGCATATACTATAACACCCTACGTCCAGGAAGGTAGGTGGATGAAATTAAAAGTAGATTGTGTTAATTTAGGGTCTGTGCGCTTCAGGCTTGCCCAGCTACACGGATGTTACAACTGCTCCGTTCCTGAAGATCGGCACTGGCTTTTACTACTTCGAGAACACAACGAAGAACTGGTTCGAAGCATTTGCCAGTTGCCGTCAGATGAGTGCCCAGCTGATTAGCTTCGAGACTGTAGAGGAATGGTCTTTAATTATGGACTATCGAAGGACTATCAAGGACACAAATAGGTATTGGACCTCAGGCACAGATCTGGGCTCGGAGGGATCACATGTGTGGCTCGCTACTGGCAAGCCAATGGACATAAACGTTTGGACCGTCAATAATCCCGACAATTACAAGAACAATGAACACTGCGACGAGCTTGGTTGGCGTCCAGCTAATTCCCCAACGGACGGCTTGAATGATGTTGCTTGCTCCGCCAAATTGCGCTATATTTGCGAGGCATCTCCACCACAAACTGCTTCGTTCATAATTTGGTAAATGTAACTTTAGATAGGAGCAAATGCGGTCCTTGGAAAAGTCTGTCCTTAGAGAGAGAGGGCAAGAAAGAGAAAGCAAAAAGTGGGTGAATGACGGAACCTGCATGACGCAAGTAGTGGGAATAAAAATGAGGGAGATAGAGGTTGAAAGGGCGGTAGAGAGTAGAGAGAGACAGAGAGAGAGATCGGGAGAGAGAAGAGAGAGAGATAGTGTGAGAGAGAGAAGCTTGATAGATACTACAGCACAGGCTGTAAGAGAGGAAGTTTAATTAAAAGGTGGTAGAAGTGAGACAGATAAGGGGTATAACAATTTAAAGAGTATTTTTAGATGTTATTTTTAATATTTCTTTTAAATATTTCTTCTATTTCTATATGCCTAGTTCCACCAGGCTAGCTGTCAAACGATATTTAATAAATTTTGTGCTATATAAACATGCATCTTGACAGCATATCTAATGGGTAGACACATGCTTAGTCCTATTAAAACTCGTTTCTATATGATAATTAAAAATAAACCGGTTGATTGATGTGCTTTGAAATCCAATTTATTGCAAGGTGCTCAAATAAAAATAAAACTGGAATAAGGTAGAAGCATGCACAGAGTTATATTGTGTATTAAGAAGGCTTATAGAATCTCGCCCACTGGCTTGATAATCATCTCGTGGATCTGCATATGCGGCGGCGTGGCAAGGGTAAACAGCACGGCCGAAGAAATATCCTCAGAATTTAGCATTGTCTTCCTGCACGCAGTACGAATGCAATCCGGCAGAATTTCCGTATCCGTAACGCCGGGGCTAATGCTCTGTGAATGAATGATTGAATAGTATTTCAATCAAAGAGTTGATAGACAAACAATCAATATATATGCACATGTATATGGGGTATAGAGTAGTCGGGCATACCGTTATCTTGATACGCGTACCCAAGCCTATGAACTCCTGACGATACATTTCGGCGAGAGCGGTAACCGCATGCTTGCTGGGCGGATATACATTGATTTCCGGCGCACCAGTTGCCGGCGGAGCAAACAGCTTGTGGCCCAAGATGCTATTGATCAGAATGATGTGGCCATCGAAGCTGCGCTGCTGCATCGAGCGGAAGGCGCGCTGCGTGCAATTTATGATGCCCATGATGTTCGTCTGCACCGTCTGCTGGGCCAGCGCAATGGGCATGTCCACCAGTCGGCCATTTTGCAGGGTGCCCGCATTGTTCACCAGTATATCGATGGCGCCCAGCTTGTTTTCGATCGCATCGAATGCCTGCTTCACCGAGCTCTCGCTGCCCACGTCACAGTGCATGGGTATGAGCCGGTCCCTGCGCTCGGCCGGCAATGACTTCTGCAGTTCCTTGACTCGGTCCACGCGACGCGCCAGCCCAACGACAATGACACCAGCATTGACCAGATCCATGGCAATGGCCGAGCCAATGCCCGAGCTGGTGCCCGTCACAACAGCGACACGATTCTGCCAACGTTCCATGCTGGCACAGATAGCTCAAGTTGCTCTGAGCCTCTCCGGCTGGCAGCCGATGCCTTATATAGTTGTTCGATCACAGATCGCCGCTCTGCTAGTCAGTCTATTGTTCGACTTGTAACCGCTTTGCGTGCAGCTACTGGGCGTGGGTTTGCGTGCGCGTTCGACTTCGTCTTCACCTGCGCGTTTCCGTTCGCTTATCAAACTCAATCAAAATCTTCGTCGCGCTTATTGATAAACAGCGAGTGTTGGCTTACGTTGCGAGCTGTTGACTTGATGCTCATCGAGAACTGCTCAATTAAATTGAGTCTCGACTGTGGGCACATGCATATCACTTGACACTTGCCTCTCTGCCTGTTGACCCGACTCAATAGTCAAAGGTATTGTAGGGGCTACAAATGTGTTTATTGTCTGCCATTCGCCTCTAGAAAATTAATGAAATCATCAGATGGAAGCTTATTATTATAGAAGTAAAGAATCTCTATATTCGAATAAGTTAATGAATGATCGTTTTTTCATTATATGGTATATATTTGTATATATATTTATATACAATTGACTCAGAGTCGATTAACATGTCTAATGCGACTCAAAGCTTAGATGCTCTAACAAGTTGTTCATTCACCTGCTCAACTATAACCATATGCTGTTAGCTGCACTAGCAGATAATTATAGTTCGTAAGTCGTTTAACTTTAGGCTAAGATTGCTGCTCTCCAGCTATCAAGAAAGGCTGTAATAAAGTCAGTGACCTAATGTTTGATACTTTTTAACTTCCGGCAATTCTTATATCATTTTACTTACATATTATTTTGTGGCATATATTAACTTCCGGCAATTTGTGTATCACTCTTTATATATATTATTTTTGCTTTGAGAAATCTCTTAATGTAAATCCCCTAGTTTTGAGACAGGCTTTGAATAGTCTCTCTGTACAATTCTCATAGCTGCCAGCGATGACTAATAATCTGTATATTTTATGTACTTTTTCTTTGAATAGCCTCTCTATGCAATTCTCACAGTTGCCAGCGATGACTAATAATCTGTATATTTTATGTACTTTTTCTTTGAATAGCCTCTCTATGCAATTCTCACAGTTGCCAGCGATGGCTAATCATTTGCTCATCCGCTATACTTTGGCTTTGCATAACCTCTCTATGCAATTCTCACAGTTGCCAGCGATGGCTAATAATTTGTATATTTTATGTACTTTTTCTTTGAATAGCCTCTCTATGCAATTCTCACAGTTGCCAGCGATGGCTAATAATTTGCTCATCCGCTATACTTTTGCTTTACATAACCTCCCTATGCAATTCTCATAGTTGCCAGCGATGACTAATAATCTGTATATCTTATGTACTTTTTCTTTGAATAGCCTCTCTATGCAATTCTCATAGCTGCCAGCGATGGCTAATAATCTGTCTATTTTTTGTACTTTTGCTTTGCATAACCTCCCTATGCAATTCTCATAGTTGCCAGCGTTGGCTACTCATCGATATATTTTCTATAACTTTGCTTAGCATAACCTCTCTCATAGCTCTCAGCTATGCTTTGAATAGCCTCTTAATGCAATACTCATAGTTGCCAGCGTTGGCTAAGCGTTTTGTCCTTTGCTTTGCATAACCTCTCTATGCAATTCTCATAGTTTCCAGCTACGCTTTGAGTACCTTCTCTATGCAATTCTCATGGTTGCCAGCGATGGCTAATCGTCTGTCTATCTTTTGTCCTTTGCCTCTCCATGCGATTCTCATATCGTCGCTTAATTATGCATCTTCCTTTTGTGCTGATGCTTGCGTGCTTATTATTTCTTTAACAAGATAGCTGAACGGTTTCAAGTGGCATTTGAAGGCCATATTCAAGTACTTTGGGCTGAGCATGTTAACAATAGCGTATGCTTTAGTTGACTAGGCAATATTTGCAATTGTCATTGTCAAGAGGCTGATGCATTTACTGCAGCTATTGCTGCTGACCCTGCCAAAGGGATTACCTAGAAAGCTACTTCTGTCAATGCACAAGTATGTGTGAGTGTGTGTGTGGGTGGGTGTGTGTGCTCATTGAGTGTATTGTCGGGGCGTAAGTTCAAATATTTGTCAAGCGAAGAGCGGATGCCGTCCAAAGTTCATATTGACTGAGGCTTCTGACTCTTGTGTAAAGGCAGGCTCAGCAGCAGCTGCAGCCAGTTCCAATTGTAGACATTGGACTTAGCGGCCGAGCACAGAGCAACTCACATGAAATATGTTCAATTCGATGTATGCTTTACCATTGCCAAATGCCCTACGCTTAGAGCCAGACTTGGCCAAATATGGTCACACTGAAATCTGAGGCTGTCCGGACTGGCGTGAAAGGGTTTTGCTTGCGCCTAATTCGGGTCATTCCACGTTAAGTATTTAGCACACCGTTTTCATAAGGCTATAAATGACAGACTCTGATACCCTATAGCTAAGCAAATGAAAAGACAGGGGTATATTGAAACACTAAGAGCGTATGTAACAGATCAAAATGCTGTTAAATTTCTTGGGCTTTCATATACCTTTGTATGTTAGAAAAAGTACAGAGTCGTGCTATGTAGCTTAGGCTCATAAGTAAAATGGCCTATTCCATTACAGGATATCTAAAAGTCGAGCCGAGTTTTTGCTTTCTTCTTGCTACTCAATGTTCGCTTCTCTTGAATTGTTGTTGCCGGGCTGGCTACTGTGTTAATTTTTTAAAAGGACGCCAACTGTCATGATGCAGCGCAGATGATAATGACGAAGACGAAGGCAACGCTGACAACAACAACAGGAGGAGCAGGAGGAGCAGGCGAAGCAGGAGGAGGAGGAGGAGGGAAAACGTTGTCTTTTATCTTGTGAAAAGCATGAAATGCAAAACACTTGAACTGAGTGGAAATGAAGGCGAAAGCAAAATAAGTAACAAAACAAGACAAGAAGAGAAAGTATACACACACACACACACACGCACACCCATACACTTAGAAGAAGAGGAAAACGTTGGCAGTGTTGATAAAGACAGCAAAGACAAAAGCTATGCACACGCCTAATGGGGCGCCCGAGTCTGTGTCTAGAGAGACGGATGACTGTCAGACGCAGTTTCCCTGCCCATATCCACGACCACGTCCACGTCCACGTCCACGTCCATGCTCATGTCCATGTTCATGTTCATGTTGCTGATGTTGTTGTCCTTGGCGCTGCTGCAGCCAGGCTGTTCTAGTTAAATTGCCTGTCCTCGACGCTGTCGCTCTTAGTAAATCAGACCCCCAACAAACCATAAAAAATTATTGTCATCAAAATAAAAAATAAAAAGAAAAAACAATGCGAAACAAAATCATAAAAAGTGGAACAAGAATTCGCTGAATTGCAAAGATTAAATGATATCGCGTTAACTAGCGATGCTTATAAATAAACAGCACGAGCTGAAAGTTAATTTCGCACTGCGTCTTGTGCTACTTAATACCCTGTAAACTGTAAACCGTAATCAGATGTGTACTTTCTGCCTGGAATTTAACTCTTATATTTGCAGGCAATCTTATATGCACAGTCTTATATAGCAGTCTTTTAACTGCAGTCTTATATTTAAAGTCTTGTTTATACAGTCTAATATTTGATGTCTTATATTTGCAGACTTATACGTGCAATCTTATATTTGCCGTCTTATACTTGCAGTTTTATGTTTACAGTCTTATGTTTGCAGTCTTATATATTCTGTCTATATTTAGTCTTATATATTCTGTCTTTTATATGTAGTCTTATATTTTTTATCTTATATTTTTTATTATATAATTGCAGTCTTATATTAACTGTCTTATACTTGCAGTTTAATATTTATAGCTTTATACTTAGAGTCATATATTGTCGGTCTTATACTTTCAGTCTTATATTTTCTATCTTATATATTTACAGTCTAATATTTTCAATCTTATATATTTATATATATTTTTGCAGTCTTATACTTTTATTATTGTATATCTTATACTTTCAGTCTTATATTTGTAATTTAATTTATATAGTTATATACTTATTGTCTTATACTAAGAGTCTCATATTTGAGGTCTTTCATTTGCAGCTTTGTATTTACAGTCTTATATTTTCTTTCTTTTATATCTGTAGTCTTATATTTGTAGTCTAATATTTACGTTCATATATTTATAGTCTTATACTCAAAGTCTCATATTTGCACTCTACAATTGGAGTATTTGAGGACTTTGAAATTAGTAACTTTATATACTAGAAATTTTAATAATAAGTAGGCCGCGTGGCAGGCCCATGCTGCTGCCTGCCACAAAATGCTGCTTTGATTAATGTTTCCTACTTTTTCTTGTCTATTATTCTCACTTTGAAATGGGCCTGGCCTAAAGAATATCCAAATGATTGAGTACTTATACGCTCGTAGAAAGTTTTATAGGATAATTTGTGTTTCATCGAAATATGACCACTCCACAAATACAGATGTATATACATAGATATGTTCTGCATGAGCTGTGGAGCTGATATGGCCATATCGATATGAGTTAGTATAAGACTGTTGCATAGGCAATATAAGTGGCATCTAACATATCTGCTAGAGTGTTAAAGCTTCGGCTAGCTGAAGGACAGAAATTGCGTTTCCTTTTGTTTATTATTTTATTGTATTATTTCAGGTTTTTTACAGTATTTCTACATATTTTATGCTATGAGTGGGGCGTTCATTCTATATAGTCAGTTAGTGGCATGGGTCGTAACGACCCAATCAGAGCACAATGCTTCTACATTATTCTGATTTGAGACGCTCAAGGGCCAAGGTGGACGTAAGTTTAAGAGCTGTGTGTGTGTGAACAAATGCTTTAATTTTTTATGATCTGACCCAGGGCCACTTCTGTGCAGTGCAGAACGTGGATATATATATACATATATATATATGTATTTATATAGAAAATGTTTGTGCTCATTGCTGAGTGCTGGTAGCTGAACTATGCCAAAGCCAGCCGAGCGGCAGCTAAGAAGAGAAAATCAGCATGGAGCATCCTGCACATAGTTCATCAAGTTGGCAAACAAACGCATGCCATGGCCAAAAGAACGG